AGTGGCATGTCTTATTTGATGTCCAGATGTTCTGAGTGTTGTTACTACAGAGGGTCCCGCTGACCTCAGAGTTCCATCTCTGCCCGCCGATGAACCAATAATGGGTAGAGTACCTCTTACTCTGCTCCATGCTGTTGAAGTGACCTGGGAAGATTGCACATGCACACTTTGAGGCAGGTCGGAACCCAAACTCCAAGGACAGTGTTCCTAACTGCAGCTCATCTCAAGGGAGTCTTGAGTGAACTGTGCCTTCTCCTGCCCTCACTGGTGAGGACAGCAAGGCACTAGCAATGTCCTCTTTGGCTTGTTTGTGCCTTGGCTGGGTAACATGTTCTGTAGTTCCACGGCTCTCATTTGGACAGGATGCGTATCTGTCCTTTCTGTAAGATGGATGATGGCTTCTTCATAGGCCAAACAAAATGAGCCTGTGGGCCTTGTCCCACAGTGAGCTGGGGTGGCTGCCATCTGCACTGCCCACTGTGTTAGTGGCACCATTCTGAGTTCTCCTCCTGAAGCTCTGTTTGCCTATTTACCTAGGCTTGACTAGCCGACTGCTTCCAAATGTTTAAAGTTCAATATTTGGTGACAAAAACAACTTAAAATAGAGGGGTTTAGTTTGGTCTGAGGCTGCAGTCCATACGGTGTGGAAGGAGCAGGAGGCGGCTGATCCCGTGGCATCCACAGTCAGGAAGCAGAGATGGGTGCTGGAGCTCAGCTCCCTTTCTCCTTCTTGTCCAGTTGAGACCCCATCCCAAGGGATGGTGCCACCACAGCGGGTGGGACATCCCTCCTCATTGAACCCAACCAGAAAATCCTTCACAGGCATCCCAGAGCCTCACTTCCCAGGTGACTTTAGAGTTCATCAAGAGTCCATGTTCTGAGGAAGACCCTGTTTGTCCAGCGTCAGGTCGTGACCTTGTTCATCTCCTTATGTCTGTGTGATCGAGGACTCTGTTTCTCGCTGGCCATAAGCTAGGGCTGCCCTTCACCTCAAGTTCCTGACACATGCCCCTGAGGTATGCTGGCAGCTCACAGCATGGCTCCAATTAGGTCAGCAGGAGAGGAGCATGTATTCTTTAATATATTATCTTAAAAGTGCTGTTTCAGAGAGAGAGAGAGAGAGAGAGACAGAGACAGAGACAGAGACAGAGACAGAACACAAAGATACAGACTTAAAAGATACAGACAAGCCATAGGGGCTGGACAGATGGCTCAGCAGTTAAGAGCTTTTGTAGCTCTCGCAGAGGACCTAACCTATGTCAGGCAGCCTTGAGCAACTCCAGCTCCAAGAATCTGATGCCTCTGGCCTCCAAAGACACCTGGACTCATGAGCACACACTCTTACAAACATCCACTCATTTAAAAATAAGATATATTTATTTATTATGTATATACGTATCTGAGTGCATGTATGTGCACCATGTGTGTGCACATTCTTGAGGAGGTCAGAAGATCCCCTGGAACTCGAGTTATAAGCAGTGAAAAGCCACCCAATGTGAGCATTGGGTACTGAACCTAGATTCTCTACAAGAACAGCATGTGTTCTTAACCACTGAGCTACCTCTGCAGCTCTCAGAATTAAAAATAGAATGAATTTTCAGAAAGATGCCAGTGAGGGTTCACAAACTCAGGTTTCACAGTGACGATACACAAAGTCAGGGTTCACAGTAAGGGTACACAAACTCAGGGTTAACAGTGAGGGTTCACAAACTCAGGTTTCACAGTGAGGGCACACAAACTCAGGTTTCACAGTGAGAGTTCAAAATAGTCATCATAAATTATAAATATGTTCAAATAACCAAAGAAAGCCTTGATTAAATTAGAAAATACAGATTTGAAGATGGTGTCTCATCAAGTAGATAATATCAATAAAAAGAGTTTTTAAAATTACACTGGACGGTTAATTTAAATGACTCAGTCGGCCAAGCATTCAACTTGCAAGTGTGAGGCACTGAGTTTGGTCCTCAGAGCACATGTTAAACTGGACACAATGGCTCACATTTAATCCCAACAGAGGCAAGGAGGGTGGATCCCTGAAGCTCACAGGCCAGCTAGCCTAGCCTACCTGATGACTTTCCAGGCTGGTGAGAGGCGGTCTCTAAAGTCAGTGGCTAATGCCTGAGAAACATTTGAGATTGTCCTCTGACATCCACAAGCACACATACAGGAGCACCCACCCCAGGATAGCCTCTGACCGACAGAAGCATGTGCACCTTTCCATCCCCAACAAACATGTGTACCCACCCACCCAGGTTGTTCTCTGACTGACACAAGTATAAATACATGTGCGCCCATCCGTGCACAGACATATGCACGCACCTATGGAAGCTCACCTATTAGTGGGGGAAAGGGTAAAGAAAGAATGGAAGAATGGAAGAATGGAAGAATTAGGCCTGAAAACAAATACTATGAAATCTGAAGAACAAAGTAAACATGAGAAGGGTCAAGGTAAAAGAGTTGAGGGCCCGTGAAGTGTTGGGTATCTGGATAATGGGGTGGGGGCAACAGGAAAATGTTTGAAGAAATAACTGTCGGAAGCTTCTCAAATGTGTCAGAGAACACCTATCTACATCCCAGCAGCAGTCACGTGGGGCAAATAGGCTGTGGTTGACTGCCCATGGTTGTCCTGGAAAGTGCCTGTAGCTGGAACTATGTTTCCACAAGGAGATTTTCCTGTGGTAGAGCAAGGAGAATGGAAGTCACCCAAAGGTGACGTCATCTCAGGCAGCAGCCCAGCCCAGGGGTGCTGAGTGTCAGCCTGCAATTGCCCTGAAATTCTGATCACCTGGAGGAGAGATCACAACTGCCCAGTTCCTGCTACCACAGGGCCAGGCTCATCCTGGCTCCACTGACCCTGTTCATAAAGGTTGGCGGAGTCTTTTTTGGGCCTGCAGATGTCCTGGGGATCACAAATAGCAGGACAAAAGCTTGACATCTCTTCTGCCATTTTACACCTATCTGCTTAGGTTCGGGGGGGGGGAGGGCAGGGTGCTGCTCAGCTCTGCACACAGATACATTAAACACGCAGGGAGTGTTCATGCCAGGGCAGCAATCCTCCAACTCAAGGCTGAAGACAACAGGTGGTCCTGTCACACCCCACCCCCTCACCCTCAGCCTGCCCGTGCCACCTGGCATTGGTCCTCAGCTTTCTGCGGACACAGTCAGTCACCTTTTCCCTGCCCGAGGTTTATCTGGGCTCCAGCACACCACACAGGGCACACTCAGTTTCTGCAGCTGGCGTCACCACATGGCTACCTGTAAGTGAGGCAAGGATGGAGGGCAGGCTTAGTGAGTGGCTCTTTGCTCCTGTGTCTACTCTGCTGGCCTTCAAAAACCTGAATTCTGGGATAAAAGTACCAAGATGCAAGAAGACCGTGCGCAAGTTAATGAGTGTGAAGCCTTTGGGAAGCTGCAGCGGCATACCTGTGCCACTGAGCTCCTGGGAAGCACCGGGGAGCCGGACTGTGTTCTAGAAGGGCTTGAGAGGCTGTCATGGAACCCTTGAGTGGGTGGGACATTTCCTGCAGAGGAAGTCAGCAAGTAGCTGGGTGACATGGAAGGGTCCCTGAGGCTGGACACCTGCCACCCTTCCATAGCCAAGTTTCTCCTTATGGAAGTCCCCAAGAGCAGCCTGCTACTCTCAGGACAAACTCACACTGCTTGGACTGGCCTGAGAAGAGTCTGAGCTGCCCACTAACTTTTCCCTTCTGTGAATTCACAGACCGTGACACTGAACTCCTGGCTTCTGTGTTCACCAGGCCTGTTACTGCAGGCCCAGCCCCCTCCTCCCACTCAGAACCGGAAAGCACTCGTCCAGATCTGTCTGCTGAGTGGCGTGCTCACAGCCGGCTGCTTGCATCAGTAGCCATCAAATCCACATGCCTCCGAGTCTCCCTTCTCTCCCCCTCTCCCTCTCCCTCTAACCCCTGCCACTGTCTCACTAGTGAGCCTGGGACATAGTCTGTATCAACCCTAACTTGAGGGAGGTGAGCCATTGCTGTGAAGCTTCATCCTCCAGGAGTTCTGTGGCCTTCCTTTCCCACACACTCCAGGCCTTCCTATCTCCATCCTGCCCGAAATCTCTGCAAAACCAATAACTGTCTCCAAAAAACACATTCAGAAAAAAAACAATATGGCTTCCATTGTAAGCCTGTCTATTTAACCATCCATCTTCTATGTAAGAGCTATCTATTTAAATATCTATCCTATCTATCGATTAGTTCTTTGGAGGTTGAGACTTGCTTTGTACCCCAGGCTGGCCCGAAGGTCTCCACACTCCCACATCAGTCTCTTGAATGCTTCACTCACAGGGATACGCCAACAGCCGGATTCACTTCTAAACTCAGCAACTACGAGAACAATAGCCTCTTGCTGCACACGAAGGGTCCAGGCATGGAGGAGACTGTCAGAACGTTCACAGGCAATGGCCCATCACACCCAAGTTAGGGGCGCTGCAGTCTATATCCCAGGCTCTCCAGCAAACCAGTGCCTTGTGTCAGTGGGGGTGGGGGTGGGGGTGGGAGACACCAGGTGTCATGTGGATTTGATGGCTCCTGATGCAAATATCCACCGGTGAGGCACCACTCAACGCCATATCTAGATGTGAACTTGTGTTTTATCTGAGCCAAAGAGCATCAGATCTGGGGTGATATGGGGACCGGCCTCACCACTGGAGGATGCCGGCCCATGTGCCAGAAGCCAAATGACAAGCTGTTTGCTCTAGCACAGTTTAGAACAAAGGAACTAGCCCACCTCATCCAAGTTGGGCATGCTGCAGACTATGTCCCAGGCTCCCCAGCAAGCTGGAGTTGAAAGATTGAAAAACATTTTTTTCTTCTCTTTTCAACAAAGGGGATAGACCCCAGGACCCCAAGCATGGTTGGCAAGAACTCTATCACCAAGCTACATGTCAACTTCAAAGATCTTTGAATCTGGGTGAAAGGTTAATCATTTTATTCTCTCTACTTTTCTAAATATTTAAGAAAAGGTTCTATGCTGGAGAGAAGGAAAACAAAATATATATTACTTATCTCTACACATATAAATGTATGTATGAACAGAATATTGACTTACAGAATATTCTCTAATTGTGTCTCCATTTCTTGGCCAATGTCAAACGAGGACTATTCTTTGTCTTTTAAATTATAAGGAATTTTGTTTTCAATACTGACTTATCTTTTGCAACAAATTACAGGGTAGTTAACAAAACATTTGAATTCTGTGATCCTCCAAGAGGACTTTGGCATGAAACCATTTTTTTTCCATCAGTTATATGCCTCTTCTTTTTAATGCTCAGAGCAACCAACATAGATGTGTTTTCAAAATATATGACAGGCTTTAATAATAAGGGCTTTTGCTTGACAATGTAAACACACACACACACACACATACACACACACACATACACACACACACACACACACACAGAGAGAGAGAGAGAGAGAGAGAGAGAGAGAGCTTTAAATAGCTAATTATGTGAGTTTTTATCAATGACAAATTAAATCCAAGTTTTATTGGAAATTCTGTCACTAGCATTTCTGGTAATAAGTTGATTCCATGTCTCTATAAAGAAAAAAACAAAGTGTTTATGTTATTTTTTTTTCTTAAAATGAAAGAAAAAAATAAACAGGCCCCAACAATACACAAGTGAGAGACAAGTTTCAACGAGAGTAGATTGAATTCAGCCAACTGTGGCTTCGAGTTCAAAAAACCAAAGGGTGAAGCTGACTGTGATTGTTCAACCCCTGTGATGTAATTCTGGAAACCATCCATGTTTGATGCAGACATCAAAAAAGTACTTACAGTAGACGTGGCTTCAAACAGCTCATCCTGGTGACCTTTGAAGATGCTTCACATTGCTGAATCAGGGGCATTTAGGCTGAACATCTAATCAGGCAGGGATGGGGAGAGGCCATTCCATAGTGAGAGAGGGCTTAGCATCATCTGGCTGGCTTCAGGGTGAGTGCAGGTTCCAGAGGGCAGCTCAGTAGATGGATGGGGGGGATGGAGGCTCAGACGCAGCTCCCGGCAGGCAGGAAGGACAGGCTGGAGATAGGGGAGGCAAGTGGGCTCTAACCTCTGTGTGCCAAAATACCGCTGCTCCACTGTAGGGTGCTGTGCTGTGTGCCAGGGGCCAGTTGTTGTAGCCCTGGCCCTGGCCCTGAGTACACAGGAGGAAACACCTTTAAGGAGAACAAATGGCCAGTGTCACAGGATACTCCTTAAGCCCAGAACTTCCTGTCCTCCGCTCATGATGCTAAGGGGTGGTCGACCAGAGCTGGATTCAAAGACGGCATGCCAGTGGCCTCCTGGCTGTGCCCTTAGTCAAAAGCACATGGGCTATGGTCTAGAGTTCTGATGTCATCTTTGCATGACATCCTGGACTCTAAGATCCTGTTCTAGGCCACAGACGAGACCTGTCACCTGCCCTCCCAGGTTCTGTGCAGGACAGGAGGGCAAGAAGGCATTGGACTCTAACAAGGTCTAGTAGGAACCTGTAATGAGATCTTACACTGTGGGGCAAACCCCAGGCAACAGACAGGCTGGGAATCTGGAATCCAGCCCGGACTGGAGACGCCTGCCGCCACACAAGTGGTTCCAGAGTAGGGAAGAGGGAGGGAATCCAAGGCTTCTGAGGCTCTCGGCCCCTTCCTCTACCTGCCCCCTCTGTGAACAGCCCATCACCCAGCCTCCAGTGAGCAAGCAGTAAGCACCCCTTCCTGCTGGGAGGCCCAAAGACTTGAGGCCTCCTCTGGCTTCAAGTTAACTCCAGGACCAAGACGGCACAAGTCAGAGCTGCAGTGGGAGGGAGGAGGCCCTACGGCTTCCAGTCAGGCCCAAACACAGTGACAGGCCCCGTGCAGCTTAGTGCACACAGACCCTTGTAGGGAGACACTGTAACCAGGCCTCCTAAGGGCTGGCTACACCTTGTCTCGCTGTAGTCCCTTCCACGTCCCATCTGTCGGCAATGTCTGGACTGGCTGGATTAGTTGCTTTTCTTGTTTTGTGATAAAATACTCAGTTAAATAAAGTAAGTTAGAAAAGGGTCTATTCTGGCCCACAGTTTGAGTACAGGCTATCCTGGTAGGGATGGCGTGCTGGCAACAGCTTGAGGCAGCCATGCACATTGCACCTGCAGTCGGGAAGCAGAAAAGACTGGGACCAGCGACGTTAGCATTCAGAACTGCATTCATTCATTCATTCATTCATTCATTCATTCATTCATTCATTCACACGCTCTTCTGTCTGGTCATGTGCCTCTTTAATCAATGAAGAACCCTACCCCGGGAGTCTGAATGGCTAGATGGGGGCAGGTGGGATTCAAGAAGCCCTTTTGTCTGGCCCGGGTCACTTGATTGCTAGCCTGGTGATGCTGCCTTGTCCCTAAGGCTTCCTAGGTCAAAGCCGGATCACCACTCTGGCCCCTTCTCACTAAGACACAGGTACCTAGGAAATCAGACTTTTCACAGGCCTTGAACCTGGAACACCTGTAGGTGTGTGATCAAGGTAATTAGTTGGTGGCCTGGAGACAAGTGCCAGATCTTGCCTCAAGGTGGCCAGGAAGGACAGCAGCTCTGCCAGGCCAGCACACACCAGAGGCATCTGTGGCGGCAGCAGCCCACGGGCTCTGTTGTCTTGGCTTCCCACTGGCCCCGTCGATGCTTCTGGGAGCCTGTAAGTCCAGAGAGGAGGCCTGAGCATTGCTGACAACAAGGGTGGGATGCTGGCCAGTTTAAAAAGGGAAAAAAGATCTGGAAGTATTTAGAAGGAAGAGATGTAATTATACCTGTTATATGTACATTCAAAAAGCTTGGCAGCTTGGAAAATAGGGCCCGGATCTGCTGTTTCTTCCCATTTCCTGCAATTTCCCCTACTATTGTCCAGGGTTCCCTGAGCCAGCTCGCCCTTCTCCCAGATGGCTCCCCCTCAACAGCTGCTGGTTCCTAACCAGCCCTGCCAGAAGACTCACTTTAGGCCAAGGAGGAGACCAGAGAAAGGGGGTGCCTCCTAGACTTAGGGAGCACTGGGCATGGACATTGGGGCTCACCAGGATCACCTTGCTGGCCACAGGGCACCTCAGGGCTGCAGAGACTTGACAACAGGCAGTTGGCAGGGGAGCTGCATGGGGAATCCTGAGGGATGGGGTGGGGGGGTCTGCCTCGTGAGATCTCGGGCTGTGGGAAAACACAAGTTGTAGCTCACATTGAGCATCAGGGTCCAGTGCATTGTGTGAACCTCACGATTCCCCTCACCCAGAGCCCATTTCCAGGTTGAGCAGTCTGGGTACCCAGACCTCCACAGGCTCTGTCCTCAGACTGCACAGCCCACAGGCTTTCGGGACTCTGAAAGGGCTGTGTGAAAACAAGCTCCACGGACAGCAGCAAGAGCCCTTGAAGCAAGGCCTGCACACCAGCAGGGCACTCATGCCCCAGAGAAACTTCCTGCAGGCAGTAGCCAGAGGTGTGTTTGGCATGGGTGGTTTGTTCATCCTGGGGTCGTAATACGGCATACAGGCCTGGTCCTGGGTGGGGGCCCTGTGCTCAGGCACCACAGTTGTGTCCAGCTGATGCGGAGTGTGTACAGCGGCAGGGATGTAACATGATGGGAAGCCTTTTACCTCCTACTGCTACCCTAAGAGCTCACATGCGAGATGTGCGGGAGCCACCGAGGCAGAGATATCAGTGGTGCTTCCTTGCCCCTCACAAGACAGTGGACAGAACACACAACAATCCACATTCGGTGTCTCTATAGACATCACACAGGACCCCTAAGCAGTTATGTGCCAAGGGGTAGCTGAGAATGCAGGAGCTTCCTTCTCTTTGTGGCTGCAGGATCACTCTCCTGTACTATGACAACAGGGAGCTCAGGGCCTGGAGGCTGGCTGGGATGCTGGTCAGTGAGGGGGCTCCCCCTTAACATGCCCACTCCAGTTTGCACTTGAGAGTCTGATCTCTCACAAGGAAGAAGGAACACTTCTTTTCTTACCCGGGCTGCTTGGGGCAGCCATTCTTTCCAGACTGGGCACTGGGAAAGTCAGGGTGGGGGATCAGCAAGTGGATCAAAAGGCTGAGGACAAAATGACCCCTTTCAAAATGACTGTTTTGACTGAGGGCTTGTTGCAATGAGGTAATTTTTTTAAAGATATGAAAGTATTTTTTTATTTAAAAATTATTTTTCATTTTAAATAGTAACCAAATTCCTCCCTCCCCCCCTTGACTCCCCCCTTCCAACCCCCACCCACTCCTCAGAAGGTGTAAGGCCCTTCCTTGGGAGTCAACAAAGCCTGGCATACCAAGTTGAGGCAGAACCAAGCCTCCAAACTCATCCCATAGCAAGACTGAGCAAGGTATTCCACCATAGGGAATGGCTCCAAAAAGCCTGTCATGCCCCTTGTTTAGGTCCTGGTGCCACTGCCGGGGGAATCTCACTAGGTGATTAAGGGCAGGTGCACACATCTCCCCACCTACTGGCTGTGACACCCATCTCCTGTATAACCTGTATCAGTTTTCAAACTGGAAGGCCCTTCAAGACAGTGCTTTTTTCCCATTGGCCAGCTCTTACCCCCAATGAAGTTCATTCTCCATCTCTGCCTCACCCTTTGCCTTTCTAGGCCTCTGCTCTGCTCTGAGCAGCCTGCACCTCTAAAGAACACCCTGAAGAGCCTGCATGCAGGGAAGGCCAACCACTCGGGCTCACTTTGTCTCCTACAGACAAGGAGTGGCCCACAAACACAGAGAGCTTTAATATACATTTCCCTGGGGCAGGCGGTGGAAAGGACTGAAGGTACAGTGTGGGAGTGCTAGGAATGCCCGGGATGAACGATCCCCACATATGTATCTTACCATCGACTGGGCTGTGCTCACTGCAGTGGCCCCAGGCTTAGCAAGCAGTGATTGTGACCACCTGGGACTGAGAGGAGGGAAGCCAGTACATGTGTCTTTGTCATTATTATTGCATTGTCTCATAGTTTGCTTCCCAGGTCACCTCCAAGGTGGCATGATTTAATTTCTTGCTGGCTGAGGTCTCACTCACATCCTAACGGACTATCCCCCTACCCCTGGGCTCTCGTTCTATTCACTGCCATGAGGCTACTGAGTTTGGTAGAAACACAGGAATCCTCTGCTTCCAATGCACTTAGCAAAAGAAAGATCCCATGGCTGCTGGCACCACCCTTTCCTAAGAAAATGGAGGTTTAAAGGGTACTTGCCCAGCTTCCTGTCTTAAGAATACTAAAAAATCCAAGAGGCCAACATCTCATAGGTGCCAGTGATACCCTGTCTCAAAGATCCCTTGCCACTGACCCTCTGAGGTAAGCCTATACTGGAGACGTCTGGTCCTTTGGTGTAAGCCTGTACTGGAGATCTCTGGTCCTTTGGGGTAAGCCTATACTGGAGGTGCCTGATCCTTTGGGTAAGTTTTTACTGGAGGTGTCTGGTCCTTTGGGGTAAGCCTATACTGGAGGTGCCTGATCCTTTGGGGTAAGCTTTTACTGGAGGTGTCTGGTCCTTTAGGGTAAGCCTATACTTGAGGTGCCTGATCCTTTGGGGTAAGCCTGTACTGGAGGTGTCTGGTCCTAGGGTGTCAGATGAGAGTTCCTGAGAAAATGGGATGCACCACAACTCAGAGCTTAGGCCTCCCAACAAGGACCCCGGGATCATTTACCTGAAAAAGTCACTTCCCCTCAAACTCTCTGGTCAAATCCTGGACTTGCTTCCTTGCAGGGGAGCATCCCTCTAAAGAGCCCACAGGATGAAAGGACCTGAGGGCTGCAGGCCCCAGGAGTAGCAGCACTCGGGCTGCTTTATCTATGTGGATGTAAAGCCCAGGGTGAGTCGGGCTCTCCCTTCCAGCTCTGAGCTGTTTCCTTTCAAAGCCTGTGTAGGGTGGTAAGTGCAGCACCATCTTGCCTACTGCACAGCAGCACTAGCCTTGCAGAGCTGCCCCAGAGCAGGCCTGTCTCCTTGGCGCCATGACAACCTGCTTCCAAACAGCCAAGGCAGAAGTCCTTTCTGGAAGTCAGAACACAGGATATAATGTGTCCAAGCAATTAGGAGCCAGCAGGCTTTAGAAGAGGGCCCCAAGTAAAGAGAGAAGAGGTGTTCATTTCTGCTGCATTGCATAACCCACCCTTAAAATCATTGTGTGGCCTGATTGCAGGTCCAGTATCCCACATCCTGCAAATGGCCACGCAGTTACACACTGTCCTTACTGCACTGCCTTGCTTGGTGAGGCGGCTATGTGCCATGGCTCCATGGCATGGTGGGTTGCATGCAGTTGGCAGCAGGCTGATGCCTGGGGAACATGCCAGCTGCCACCCGCTGAGCCTTGCTCTGCTGAAGTGGGGTGCGGGGGTAGGCAACAACCACAAGACAGTTAAGTCCTCAAGGACTTCCTCTTCAACAGAAAACACACAAAACAAGTGTTGAGACAGTGCTTAATTCCTGATCCTCAAAGTGCTGAGGCTGCCAGTGTGGGCTATCCAAAGTGTGTGCTTTTATCTCAGCCTGTATGTTTTAAAGGGCAGTAAGCGTTTTTGGTGAAATTAACGAGGTAATGCACCGGGACCAGATTAGAGCACGCACTAGTCCCCCCCTGCAGGCCCTCACCCTGGAGGAGACTGCGAAAGTGGACTCACCTTCCTCTGCCCAACACACAAGAGTGGACACAGGAAATGGGAAGATGGACTTCCGGAGCAGCGCAGATCACAAGCATCACACCACACCCAGGGAGTACAGTCTAATATTGATCCCCCAGCCCCCGTGTGCTGTGTGAACCTGATGGAGCCCAGTGCTACCAGGAAACTGAATGCTAATTTTCATTCACTTTTAATTAAGTTAAATGTAAATCACATGGACTAGGAGGACAAACTCACAACTTAGGACAACTTACAGAGGAACTCCCAGACAGCAACATGGATTGACACTAGCTCATAAGGACTCTTCCCCTAGGTTCCAATATAGGTGACAAAATGAGGTTGCTTTCTTTGCTTGGGACTGGTGCCCTGACTTTTGGTAACAGCATCAGACCTGTGTCTGTACCCACATCCCCACATCCCACACTCATCAAGTGAGTCTGCTCTAGAAGACAGCACTCACTAGTGTGTGGACACTCTTCTTTCCCTGCTTACTCTAATGTGCACTGTTAAAAGAGGAACGGATGCTTCAGAAAACTGCTTCAACATTGTGTGTGAATGATGCAAACTACAGGGGACAAAAGGGCTGAGCAGCACCACCCAGCAGGTAGGGTGTGTGTGTGTGTGTGTGTGTGTGTGTGTGTGTGTGTGT